TTCTGTTGTCACCTCTACCGCTGCCCAGAGATGAATCGTCAACCGACCACATCATCGTGTTGTTCCGAGAAGAGGGATAAAGAAAAGAGAAAACCATGCCTCGAACGGCCTGTCTTAGGGGATTGTATGAATATGCTAGGAAAGCAATATTTAGAAGTATGAATACAGATGAAAATCTATAGTACGATGCAGTACATGAAAGGAACAACTGTGTAGTAAACTACTGTAACAGAAAAGGACTGAATGAAAACTATGAAAGTAAAGTAAATATAAAGAAAAGGAAAGACTATGCAGTAAAGAAAGAAATATGTAGTGCAGAAACAAAATTGAAAAAACTAAATGTACTTGATTAAGTCTGGCGATGCTACAAAACATATTACAGTTGCATGATATAAAGGGGTTAGGTAAACATTTGCAGATTATAAAAGAAAAGTTAAATGATGAGCATATGAAAGTCTCAAGATGGGATATTAGATTTCAATTTGGGGATAGGCTCAAACTAGAACCCTTTTTACTCCCTCGATCCCCCAAGCTACTGATATTTTGAAGTCAACCTATCAACATCAACTAAAGGTCACCAACAAATCACCTCTATAGTCACCCTAAACCCTATCGTTTAGTGAATATGTGAACGGAGTAGTATATGAACTCATCAAAGTGTAGTGCATCTATATGTGATATGTAGTATCTAGACTCATCAAAGTGTAGTGCACCTATACGTGATATGTGCTATCTGTCATGCAGGGTGTAGTGCACATATACGTGATATATAGTATATGTTGTGCAGGGTGTAGTGTGTGGTGTTTTTGTATGTAATTCATGAACTTGTCAAAATATATAATGTATCTCTTATGTGGTGTATGAAATGTATAGTACATGAGATTCATAGTGTATGAAAGACATAGTGTGTGAAAGACATGAAGTATTACATGTGTAGTGTGTATGTGAGTGTTAACTGGTATATTTATAGATATTGGTCAGTGCATAGTGTCTATGATGTGGTGCTTATTGTTATGTAAGTGTAGTACCGGTGGAATGGTTTTCTGTGTATCTTTTCTTTCTAAGTACCATTTCCCAAACCTTTTGGGAAGGGTTAAGGCTGCCGGCGACTTAAGAAAGTGAAAGGGCATTGCATTAGTTGTGTGTTGATTTTATATTTCAGCTATAAACAAAGTTGTCAAATGGTTCTTTACATCATAGTCTGTTACCCCTCGTCAAACTAATAGGCCACTCGATATCTCATATGCTCATCCCTAGAGATTTTAGATTTTTTTATATCAAGAGATTAAAGAACATGAACATTTGAATATTTCCATAACGTCCATTTTCATATCTAGGCTTAAATTCTAAGTCTACATATGTGATCATAACAGGTTTTACTAACTTTTTCAAAGAAGAGTGAGTTCTCATTTTCACATATTCAAAGTCAAGTTCAGTCAATTTATATAACCAAAAAACCAATTCTAGCAATACTCTAAAGATTAAACAAACATTCCTCTAAAGTTTCAAATAATGTAATTCTCAAAATTCCATTCTAGTATCCTGACAAAGCTATTAAATTCAAAACCTGTTGAAGAAAGGTAATAAATCCATATTTATATCATTTAATCTCCAAAAATTAAGAGAAATAGAATCCAGAAAGGAGCTAAAGCAACAATCATTGAATAAAGTTCTATTCAGTGAGGAGTATAAGACCCAAGACATCATTAAATAAACTTAATCTTGGCAAAGGGACAAAACCCAAATCGTCAACGAATAAACCGAGCCCTACGAAGGCTTAAAATTTTGCCATGCAAGTGCCAATATTAAAGAATAGAACTGAGCTCGACAAGGGAAAAAACCCAAGCCACATATTGAACAAAACTGAGCTGAAGGAAGGCCAAAATTGTGCCAACAGAACCAAACTCAACATGGGACAAAACCCAAGCCACTATTCAGTAGAACCAAGCCCAAAGAAGGGCCAAAATTAAGCCGTTAATAAATAAAACCAAGCTTGATAAATTGGTAAGAGATGAACCACAAATAAGGAAAAGCTAAACATAGCATAAGGGGTCAAACTAAATCATCAAAAGAACCAAAACCAAGTTCCAAAGTTAATTCCCCAAACCCAAAATATATTCTCAATATATGTCTTTGAATGAGACAACCAAGGAAGCAAAGTTACAGCCCCAAATAATATTCAAACTAAACCAAACTATGTTTGAATAAGGAGGTTGAGTAAGAACTAAAAATCCAAAAATATTTCCCAAAGCCAAACAATATTATATCCAACATATACTCAAATAAGGCAGCAAAAAGGAGCAGAAAACCATTGCTCCAAATATGTTCGAGACCAAAACAACCACTAAACATTTATTTAAATGAGGGGCACCAAAGAAAACAGAAATATCAGCCCCAAACCATTAATCAAAACCATAGAACAAATCTCCAACATATTTATTTGCATAGTAGCATCAAAAGAGGAGGAAAACCATAGCTCTTCATAAATTTTCAAAGCCAAAAGGACCTAAAATACATTTTTTTGAATAGGACTATCAAGAACATGACTCAAACGCCATATAATTGATCAAAACTAAAAATGGATTTCTAATGTTTCTCTTTGAATAAGGCAACATGATGAGTAAAAAAACTACAACTCCAATTAGTTATTCAAAAGAAAGCCAAAACAAGATCCAATTCATGCATTAAAACAAGGCAGTAAAAAGAGCAAGAACTACAACTCCAAAAATATGTTCAAATCAAACTAATATGTATTCAAATAAGATAATAAAAGTAGCAGGAGTTTAGCCTTTGATCTATCGATCAAAACCTAGAGATAAGCATGCTACATGTATTCGAATGGCACAATAAAATAATGTGACTGTAATATCCATCTATCAAAGCCATGATCAGGAATAATTAGCTCTGAAATTTAACCTGGGTTTCTTGCTAATTCAAAAAATGAAAAGAGCAAAGAGAAGTTACGAGAGAAAAGGTTCCAGCAAGAATTCCTCCAAAATTTCAAAAAAAATTTGCCGCTCTCAAATGCTCCCTTAAAGGGGTATTTATAGCTGAGCAAAGGGGAAGGAGCTCACGGCAAGAAGGGCCAACACAAATCCAAAAATGAGACTAATGAGCAAGAGAGGCTATTACAAGAAAGTAAACAGCAGTTATGATAGGATGAGAAGGTAAGCCATTGCCAGAGAGGAAGGGAAGACTGGAGAAACCGGAAGAAGCATCGTTGCTCAACCGAGAGTAAGAAAGGCTAGGGCACGGTTTGGTCCCAAGGATAGGAAGGTTGCGTATGTGAGGGAGAGTTTAGATTTAGGATTTTAGAAAACCTTTTTGTTTAAAAAGATTTTTATAATTTTTTTTGAAAGAAAATATCAAATTTTGTGCAATTCATTAATGTGCGGCGCCCCAACAAAATGGATGTTCTCCCTAGCTAAAATTCACGTTCCAAACGCGATAATGCAGTCTATTTCATCATCTGGAATCATACAGACAAATTCATCGATGACGCATCAAATTAACTTTAATTTGTGCGTGGCACATTAAATGAAATTATTTTGGTCCAATCATAGCTGTTTAACGAGCAAATTGATGACGGTCCTTGCCTAAAGAACAATCATAGTCAAACACAACGCTCGGAGTGGCGAGCCAAACATCACACGCGCCACGGTGGCCACCCATGGCTTTCCAACATTTATAGAAGGCCAATGTCGGCTCTTCGATCGACTCAATTGAATGTTGAGGATCTGAAACCGTCCATATGAAACTGTAAGGAACAAAGAAACGACTTGAATTTCTAAGTGGTGTGGGTCCCAGTCTAGTCCTCTAAGAGAGTCAAAATAGAAAAATTTTAAGGCTAGATCCTACGGTATCTAGAGAATGAAAGACCTCAAAATGAGGTCAACAAATGGACACCCATTAGGTATAGTGTGCTGCACAAGCATGACGCACCTGTTGCCGTTGACTGAAATGATCAACCAAATCTCGCAAGAATGTCCAAGTAACCATACTTGAGACAAATCAAAAATAACGACGGAATTGAAGTGAAGTAGTATTTTCGCTAGGGATAAATGAATTGTTTCCAAATTATCAAATTTCAAGTGTTTTGAAAGATGGGAATCAGCATTTGGGTACCGACCCCGGAATGAGAGTTTAAAATTTAGGTATCAATCTCGAAAGAGAATCAAAATTTGGGTACCGACCTCGAAGGGAGGGAATCAGAATTTAGGTACTAACCTCGAAATGAGAGTTGAAATTCGAGTATCAATCTCGAAAGAGAATAAGAATTTGGGAACCAACCTCGAAGAAAGGGAATCAGAATTTGGATACTAACCTTGAAATGAGAATTAAAATTTGAGTATCAATCTCAAAAGAGAATCAGAATTTAATATTGACCTCGAAAAAAGGGAATTAGAATTTGGGTACTGACCCCAAAAAGAGAATTGAAATTTGAGTATCAATCTCGAAAGAGAATCAGAATTTGAGTACCGACCTCAAAGGAAGGGAATCATAATTTGGGTACTAACCCCAAAATATCGTGAATGTAGGAAGACCGTGGAAATATGTGAAGTTTTACAAAATTATGAAAGAAGAAATCAAACCCAAGGGAATGTAGAAACGATCAATTTATATGGCAAAAGAGGATAGTAAAGCAAAAATTTTCTTTTGAATGTTTATTTTTGAAAAATATTTATTGTTTATTGTAAGTTAATTATATATATATACATATCTATATACATATATATATCTTGAATATTATTCATTTATAAATTTTATTTATATATATCATTCTTGCTTGCTAGCATTTCTCAGAATTGAGGCAAATCAAATTTCTTTGTTTTCTCAATCAATTGCCCAAATCTGCATTCATTACTGTGAAAAGAAGTTTCAATATAATGTCTTTAAACTGTTATATCATGAGTATAATCCGATGTCGAATACAATGCTGTTTGATTCCATGTAATCAAAACATCCTCTAGAATTATTAATGAATAGTCCATATTGGTGGTATGGCCGCCCCCATTGATGTTCACACTGATTCCAGTTGTACTAAGGCTACTTATGCAGGGATTGTTGGAAGACCTAATGACACTCTCCAAGATCCTACAAATTTAATTTTCCCTCAGGAATTTCATAATGCTGCTGCTGGCAAAGGGATTTGCTCTTGCATTCACCCCCTTGGCTTCAAAAATGGGGAAACTGCAGTCTACTTCTCTGCAGCAGAAATTGCTTCACTGAATGAAGAAGTCAGATTCACTCTTGTTGGAAAATTCCAATTGGGCCATCCCAAAATGGACCTTGTTAGAAGCTTCTTTGATTCTCTAAATTTCATTGGACAATGGAAGCTTGGTTTGATAGATGGCAGACACCTTCTTATCCAACTCTCAATGGAAGAAGACTATGCTAGGCTATTTGCTAAACAAGCTGTTTCTATAGCAGGAGTTACAATGAAAATCCAGAAATGGACTAGTGACTTTGACCCAACTAAGGAGTCTCCTGTGGTCTCGGTTTGGTTTAAGCTACCTGGTCTTCCATTACCTTACTTCAAGCTTAATGCACTGTTTAATATAGGGAGAGCACTAGGTACTCCCCTCAAGGTGGATGCTCCTACTTTCAATAAGGCAAGACCTGCTCTTGCTAGAATTCAGGTGGAAAGAGACATAACCCTCCTTGAGATTAAAAGGATATGGATTGGTTATGATGAAGAGGGATTTTGGCAAGATATAACTGCTGAACAAAAGCCTTTTTACTGCCAACACTATAAAATGTTTGGCCACACTAATGAAAAATGCTATAGGCTCACCCCCCTACAAAAAAACTCTCTATGAATCCAAGGGTAGTTAGTCAGGTTTCTAATCAGGGACAAAGCAATAGTATCACTACACTTAATCACAGGGAGGCTGTCAGGCAAACCAGTAAAACTAGTTCTTGTAAGAACACTAATCCTCCTGCTACTTTCCACTATGGTGATCCATTGGGTGAATTATCAGAACCCCACAACAACTTGGAAACTCCCCCAGGTTGTGTGGTGAGGGCAGAACCTAATGAAGTCAGTATTATCACCCCTCCTTCCCCCACACTTGCTGAAAAAGGGAAGTGTGCTTTGGAAAACCCCTTGGACATTGGGGCTGACACTTTTGAAGCTGTTGTTGTTGAAGTGCAGCAGGCCTTGGGAGAAGATTGGAAACGTCAGAAAACAAGGAAAAAGAATGTGATGAAAAGTTCCCTGATCAATGAGGCCACTCCTAGCATTGTTGAGGCTGATGTCATTGATTTGCAACAGGCCTTGGAAGAGGATTGGCAAATTCAGAGAACGAGGAAAAAGAAAAAGCAGAGGTGCAGCAACTCGTACAAGGAACAAACTCTTCTAAGAAGGATGGAAAGGCTGAGACTACTTATGGCTCTACCTCTACACATAATAGAGGAAGAACTAGGTCAAGGTCTCAACCTTCCATTCCATTTTCTCCTATCAGTGATTAGTATTCCTCTTTGGAATGCTAAGGATCCCATGATTAATATTTTGTGTTGGAACATTAGAAGAGTGGCTCACCCCTCCTCTCTTTTGAGATTAAGACATCTCATCAGAATTCACAAGATTTGGTGCTTTGCAATTCTTGAACCTATGGTCACCAAATATCCT